AGCTCATTATGTTTAATGAATCATGTTATCATTTCCTTTGTTGCTGTTGTTTTAGTATTTGCTGAATATTTGTGCTTGTCCTCTTTTTTATTGTGATATGAAGGTTTATCATTTTGTTTTCAAGTTACCTATAATTTATAATTTTCACCCCGAGTTTATAACAGTCCATTCTCTCTTGCAACTCTCTTAACTTCCTTACCATTTAGAAGTTCTATAACTACACAGTTCCCTTTCTTTTGTTTGTAGTTATCCTCACTTGCCAATTGATGTCTCTGGTTCCCTGTTTACAAACTTGTAAGCTTATTTTACTTTGGATATGTCCATAGCTGTAGTTTCTGGGTTATGTCACCTTGTGTATCAATGGTTGGTTGTTATTTGCCATTTCTGGTTCTCTGTTCAAAGGACTCCCTTTAGTATCTCTTGTAAGGTTGGTCTGGTTTTAAAAAATTCCCTTTGTTTCTGCTTATCTTAAAATCTCTTAATTTCAGCATCATATTTAAGGGACAATTTTGCCAGGTACATAATTCTTGGTTGAAATTTTTTCTCTTTCAGGGTTTTATATATACCATCCCATTGCCTTCTTGCTTGTATGGTTTCTGCTGAGAAATCAGAGCTTATTCTTATTAGTTGTCCTTTGTAAGTAACTTTTTGTTTTTCCCAAGCTGCTTTCAGGATTCTGTCTTTGTCTTTGGTTTTGATGAATTTGATGATGATATTTCTTGGTGATTTTTTTTGGGTGTCTACCCTGTTTGGGGTTCATTGGACTTCCTTAATGGATATATTTTCATCTTTCATCATATCAGGGAAGTTCTCCTCCAACCAATCTTGGACAATTTGGTCAGTGGTTTTATATTTTTCTTTCTGTTCTGAAATTCCAATGACATGTAGGTTATTCCTTTTGATGGTATCCCACATGAACCTTAGGCTTCATTTTGTTTTGACCTTTTTTCTGATTGATCCCTTTCCTAAGAATTATTCAGGTATTTGTCTTCGATCTCATTAATTCTGTCTTCCATTGTATCCATTATACTCCTTTGCCCTTACAATGTGTTATCTATTTCTGACAATTTAGTATTAATCTTCTGGATTTCTATTTGTAGATTTGGTATCATTTCTAATTTTTCATTTCTTTTGTCATTTTGTTCTTGTATTCTCTTCCAAAATTCTTGTAGGGTTTTGTCTGTGTTTTCCTTGATCTGTCTCTCAATTCTTTGAAGATACCTAAATATAATTCTTTTGAATTCCTTATCAGAGAGTTCCAATGTTGCTTCTTCCTCAGGGATGTATTTGAGTCTGTATCCTGCTCCCTTGTTTCTAGCAGTTTATCTTGCTTCTTTGTGTGGACTGTGATAGTCTGTTTTCTCTGAGACATCGTGGCATTGATGTATTTAGATCTCTGTTAACTGTTTGTGAGAGCAGCCAAGGGTGATTCAGGCTCTTCTTGGTCGTTTGTTATTGTTGGCCTTTCCAGCCATGCAGGTCCAGAATGTCCTTGGGGTTACTGGAAGTGGAACCTGTTCTTAAGCCCCTGGAATCTAGGAAAACACTATTGCTTTAAATATCCAAAATGGTCAAGCCACTTGTAAATATTTAAAATGGCTGTGCCCTCTGGACAGGCAAAAGTCCACAGCTCAGCCCGCCTTCCTCTTTGCTGCTGCTTCGCCTTTCTTTCCCCAGCCACCAGAGCAGTCCTCCGTGTAGTCCCTGGCTAGCAGGTTGATTTTTAGGTTAATTCTTAGGTCCTACCACCACTCGGCAATCTCCAAGCTGTCTGCACCATCAGGATTGCTCAGGATCGCTGCCAGACTGCCACTCTCTATGTCTCCTTTTTTGGTATTTTCATGCAAATTCTTCTGCTAGTTGGGGTTTAGTCGACTTCTATATCCTTCCCTTCAAGGCTCAGGGTTCCAGGATTGTCTTCTGAGTCTGTGTTAATTGGTTCACCTTTTCTTTGTTGAAGAGGGTCTGTGCAGTCTTTCTGCCTATTCTGCCATCTTTCCTGGAAGCCCTTTTTTTGGATATTGAAGAAAATTTATGTTGTGTTATTGATATTGCTGGTGCTATTGTTGTAGAGATTTGGTATGTGCCATTTGATTAGATTTATTCTTTGGTAAGACTGTGAGTGCCCCAGACTAGAAAAAGTAGAACGCCTGGGCTGTTCCTTGATAGAGCTGGTTGCTATGGAGGCTACAGTATGAAGGTCTTTCTGAATTCTAGGCAACTCTAGAAATTTCTGGAATCCTGGGTCTTCACTCCAGAGCTCTGTTATTTGTGGAACTAAGCTGATTTTGAGTGTCTGCTTTAGTCTACTCTTTTAATTAGCTTAATTTTTCACTGTCTCAAAGCTTTTCACAGTTTTTCTTCCTTTTTTCATTTTTTCTTTTAATTTTTACAAAAACTATTTTAGATTTTATTTAGTGATACAAAAGTTTCTCTGATGCTTCTATGATACCCTCCTAGTTTTATTGTTCACATTATAACCTGGTTATCATTTGGCTGAAACTTAAGCCACAGGGGTTGAGTTCTTGGCTTGAAGGGTATCTAAAGGCCATAGTCATGAGTGTTCCATTGGTCTTCATGAGACCAGTAAGCCTGATCATTTTTATGATTTTGAGTTTTGTTCCACATTTTTCTCCTTCTCTATCTGGGACCTCCTATTGTGATCCCTTTCAGAACATTTAGCAGTGGTAGTTGAGTATCATCCAGTTCTTCTGGTCTCAGGGCCCTGCCCTGGAGGCTGGAGTTCATGTGGTCCATTAGTCCTTTGGATTGTTTCTTTGATCTCCTTTACTCTTCTTTTCTCCAGATGGAGAGAGACCTGTAGTTGGCCCTTAGATGACTGCTCACAGCTTTTAAGATCCCAGTCACTACTCATCAAAGTAGGATGTAGAATATTGTCTTTGTGGACTGTGTTATGCCAGTTGACCTTAGTGTTTCCAAGACTGCAGTCTTGAGTCCCCAGGCCTAGCAACTCAATCCCTCAAGGTGTTTAGTTATGACTAAGATGTTTTCATAATTTTGCCTCCTATATGCTCTACTAAAGGAGGTCTGGTGGTATAGTGCCTAAGGCATTTGGCTGCTAACCAGAAGGCTGGTGGTTAGCCCAAACCCACCAGCCACTCTTTGGAAAGAAGGTTGGGCAATCTACTTCCGTAGGGATACCGCCTCAGAAACCCAAGGTGGGGTCACTATGAGTTGGATCTGACTCCATGGCAATGAGTTTAGTGTGGTTTTTCATATACTCTACTATATTCGTGGATATATTTGCAGCAAAAATATACACAAAGGAGCTCTGGTGGCATAGTGCCTAAGGAATTTGACTGATAACCAGAAGGCTGGTCGTTCAAACCCACCAGCGACTCTGTGGAAGGAAGACTGGGCAATCTACTTTCATAAAGATTTACCACCTTGGAAATCCAAAGGGGGTTGCTATGAGTTAGAATTGACTGACTCGATGCAGTGAGTTTGGTTTTTTGGTTTATATATACACAGATAGAGATAACTTATGTCAAAACTGCATGTATTTGTGGGTATAGTTCCATTTGCCTTCCCACCTCCGTTCAACTTGAGGGTCTTTTTCTTAAGAATAATTAGTTATTGTGCAAGGCAGTTTAGGTTAGGAACAAATGTGCTGGCCCTGAGGTTAATCTGCAAAGTCGAGGTGGAAGGGTATTGAAGTCTGTCTTTCCCCTTTACTAGCTACATGACCTTTGTAAATTAACCCTTCATGCCTCAGTTTCCTCATCTATAAGAAGAGTATATTAATATATTTTAGTTCAAAGCATTGTTGCAAAGATTAATGATGTAAGGCATGAAAAACCTTTTGAACACTTCACCATGTAGGAAGCTTCAGTAAATATTAGCTATTATTATAACTTGTACTACTAGTGAGTAAGGCTATGAGATACAGGGGAGACTTTTCTGATTTTATGGATGCTGATTTGTATCAAAATCTTATCCTAGTGCCTGCTGGCAAATTTGAGCATCAGTTTTACAGGGCTGTCAATAGTGAGCTATGCTATCAAGTATATATGTCTCCATTCAATGCTAATGCTCCTAGACACTGGAAAGGAGAATTTGTGAAAAAAAGAAAAAAGTTCTATTTAAATTTGCCAACCTAAATGATTGTGTCCATTCCAAAGGGCACTATGATCCAGACATTTACATATTCTCATTCAATTCTTATGGCAATCCTGGGAAGTAGTTGTTACGCTTTCAATTTTAGACATTGGAAAACTGGAGCTTAAGAGGTAAAGTGATTTTTTTTTCAGGATCATATAACAAATTGATAAGCCAGAATTTGAATCCAGGTATGTTTGAGATCAAAGTCTAAACTGCCTTTGAAGTTACAATTAAGACATGAGAGGATATTAATGGTATTTATCTTTTGCGGGGAAAGAGGATTTGGTATTAACAAAATGGTAATTCACAGGTATAATATTGTATTTCTGATGCTTTTACCTTATAATGGTTTATCAAATCATATAAATATAATGGGATAATATAAATATTAAGTTTCCACAGATAAAATATATAATAGGTAAACACTGCAGAGTTCAGACAACTGAAAATATTATTGTATAGCTACATAACAATCTTAGCTGTTTAATATGCAATGGAATAAAATACAATAGAAGAATATCCAAAGATGTGGGGGAGAAACACCTTAAATTTGAATGAGAATTAGAGAATAATTTGGGTCAACTTGTAACATTTCAAGCCTGGTGCTGCCATTGTGGGAGTTTTACTATTTTGGCTCATTTCCAGACTATAGATGATTTCCTCACTTGCTCTGGACAGAGTCTAAGGACTCTATTGCCTCTTATGGGGCAACACCACAGATTCTGATGAGCATAATTTAAAGTTGCTATCTTGTTGTCTCCTCTCCTCTACCTGCCCAGGTATTCCAGCCCCAACTTGCAGTTTGGGGCTGTAAGGAGACAGTGTACTAAGTCATCCTGGTCTAAGGCATCATACAAGGCCCTTCCCATAAGTCCTACCTTACTATTTAAAATCTGCAAAACTCTTTGCTGTGGGGTCTGGCCAGCCTTGGGTCTCACAAGGATGTAAATGACTTTCAGGTCAGGGCTGGTGCGAAACAGCTTCTCCATCAACACTTTGCCCAGGAAGCCTGTGGCTCCCGTGATGAGAATGGACTTGCTGCCATAGAAAGCTGAAATCATAGACATGATTCCTCCCTTTCTCTTGTATAGCTTCCAGAAAGGGTTACCTGGAAAGAAAGAGAAATAACAAAATTTCATTCTCAGAATCCCTAAAAGGCAAAGTTACTTAACGTGTTTCTGGTGCTTCCAGGAATTCTGAGGGCAGACTGAGGGAGAGTACCCCAGTTTATTGGCAGCATGATTCATTTCAATTAATATTTACTGAGCTCAGTCTACATGCCAGACTCCATGCCAGGAACTGTGGGAAAAAAATAAGTAAGATATGGTTCTTGTTGTCAAGGAGTTATCTATATAGTCTAATGGAGGAGACAGACACTTAAATAGATCATTAAATATAAACAATAAGTGCAAAAACATAGGGAGAAGTGAGGAGGATCTGGGAATTTGGGGAAGACACCTGAGAGTGGTAGCACCTGAGTTGAAACTTGAAGGCAGAGAGAAGGGTTGGCTTAAGGGTATGGAGGAAGGGAAAGGAGTAAGAGCAAAAGCCCAGAAGTGTGGTGAAGCATGTTGTATAGAAGAAATAAAAGAAATTCAGTGTCATGAGAATGTAAATGATAAGGTTGGGAGTGGTCTCACAACCTGTGATACCAAAGGTTAGGACATCTATCAATTTTATTTCTAATCCTGATGTAATTATTACATCTGTTGCAATTTTCTTTAGAGAATGTATTTGAGCGAACCACTTCTAGTTTCAATTGAACTAAGTGTCCCTTGCCTGCCCAGACATTTCTGAGTAAATACGCTATTCCCTTTCTTGAGCTGAAAATGAGTTGAGTGCTACCCAGTACTCAAATGTTGCTCATAGGGTTGAAATATTACAAAAGTCAAGGACAAAGAAGACTGAACTAGTGAGGTCACAGACCAAAGGCTTTGCTATGCCCTGAGTTAGCATCTGGGTGCAATCTTTGGTTTAGTTTATCCTGTTTCTAGGAGCAAAGGAAAGAGCAGATCTGGTAGTGGGAAGCAAGATGCAGCCCTTAGGTGCTGAGAGTCCTGACAAAAAGCATCACATGCTACAGATATGAAACAAGAAGTGTTTGTTTTTAAACTCAAGTTAAAGACTTCTAACTGGAGGCAAGAGCTTTGAACCAGTGCTGCAGTTTGGGAGCGAGCAGACTTTCCTTTCTGTGTGTGGACTTTGTCAACTGCAGCAAGTCCTGGGCTGCCTGCTAGGACAGGGGTTGTGTGGATCCTGCAGAAGAAAACTCTAGGAAGCTGGTCTTGACATCAGAGCTTATAAAGAAGGAGGGAAAAAACAAGAGTCAACACCCTTCTTCCTCCACTTTGGTCAAGATGGCTCTGCTACCAACTCCTTAAGAAAAAATAACTCTCCATAGTCATAATGGGTACTTTGAAGATATTTGGGCTATATTCTCAGGAAGAACTTTTTGCCTTTGGAGGATTCATTCATTCACGTATCTATTGATATTGTTGTTAACTGCTGGCTAGTCAGCCCCTGACGTATGATAACCCCATGCACAGTGAGATCAGATTGTTGTGATCTGTAGGGCTTTCAGTGACTGATAGTGGAAGCAGATCGCCAGGCTTTTCTTTCTAAGTCATTGTTACACTGGAAACTCCACTGAACCTGAAACCAGTTGTGCATCATAGCAACACACAAACTACCACTGAGAGATGAGTGGTGGCTGCACATAGGTGCATTGGCCAGGAATCAAACCCGGGTCCCTGCATGGAAGGCGAGAATCACTGAACCACCACTGCCCAGTGTTCATGTATTTACTGAGAAATATTTTTGAGTACCTACCATGCCAGACTCTATGCTAAGCACCGAAAACATACAGATGAACTAGGCAGAGAAGTTCTTTGCTCTCACTCTAGAAGTGGAAGCTGGTGATACAAGGCAAGTAAATATATAAACCAGATAACTGCCTCCTACTACAAATGTTGTGAAGTAAATAAAACAGAAATCACACCGAATCTTCAATGCAATTCATTGGATTTCAATGAAATCTGGAATTCAAATCACATTAGCTATACTTTCCAAGTTACTATTTAAACCCCTTTTATAGAAGTTGAGGCAAAAAAAAAAAAAAAATATATATATATATATATATATTATTTTGAAGAACACATTTGGGTCATGTGTAGAATAGTAAATCATGATACGTTTTTGTGATGTTACATAAATTGCTCATAATTTACTCAATGAATTTCCCAAGAACTTAGCACTTAGGAAACAGTACTGAATATTCTTGGCTTGCCTGTCTTGAAGCTCAGAAAAGTGATGTTACCATGTTTTGCAGGCATTATATTATCCTAGTTAAGGTTCAGGTTCTAAGCCAGACTGTCCAAAATAAAATCCCAGTTCTACCATTTAATAGCTTTGTAACCTCAGGAAAATCATTACTCTCTCTGTGCTCAACTTCCTCATCTGAATTCCTTCAGATTCCTATCATGTGATGTTGTTGTTGTTATGTGCTGTGGAGTCAAACCCGACTCATAGCGACCCCTCCTTGAGTTTCCGAGGCAGTATCACTACAGAAGTAGGATTGCCCAACCTTCCTTCTGAGGAGTGGCTGGGGGTTTGAACTGCCAGCTGTCTGGTTAGCAGGCAAGTGTCTTAGCCACTATGCTACCAGAGCTCCCTATCATGTGATAGTCACTTATGAAATGGGGATTTTAAAAAGTACCCACTTCATAGTGCTGTGGTAAGGATTAAATGAGTCAATACATATAAAACCCTTAGAAAAAAATATTGCCTATAGATTAGCTATTATTATCATCACCAGTTCTATATTTTTCACCTTACTAGTTTTTTTTTTTCCTTTTTACATTTATTGTAAGTGTTCTGTTTTATGCATTCACTTGGAAATCCAAAAACAAAACAAAACCCACTGCCACTGTGTAAATTCTGACTCATAATGATCTTAGAGGACAGAGTAGTACTGCCCCATAGGGTTTCCAAAGCTGTAAATCTTTACAGAAGCAGACTGCCTATCTTTCTCCTGCAGAGTGGCTGGTAGGTTTAAACTGCCAGCCTTTTGGTTAGCAGCCAAATGCTTTAACCACTGAGCAACCAGAGCTCCCCTTTTGGAAATAGGAAACTTATTTATAACTCAATCAATTATAGAAGCCAAGTAAAATGTTTTCACTAGTACAATTACAGTTTATGTTCATTTTTGCCCATTTCTCTCTATATAAAATGTTTATGCACCAAAAAAAAAAAAAAAAAGAAAAAAACAAAAAACCCTGAGACTAAACCCACTACCATTGAGTCGATTCTGACTCATAGCAACCCCCAGAGGGTTTCCAAGGCTGTAAATCTTTATGGAAGCAGACTGCCTCATCTTTCTCCCACAAAAGTTGCTGTTGGGTTTGAACTGTTGACTTTTTGGTTAGCAACCTAATGCTTTAACCATAACCACCAGCCCTCCTGTTTATGCACCACACTCCTTTAATAAAATACTAAGCATTGATGAACATGGTTGGCAGAAAAATACAAAAAGGAAACTGAATTTCAGTAGAGTGACTTCCCAACCTCATTTGTTCTGAAAATATGAAATGTTTGCATTGTAATTGTATATATGCTAATGAAATAATTTCTAGAAATGCAAATATACTGTGAAGATAATATATTTTTGGTCCCAGATACAGTTTTGCCACATGTGATTAAAAAGTCTTGAGAGCAAGTAAGTGATCTTCCATTAGCCTATTTCTTATGCCCCCAAAGCATGGATAATATTCAGCACATACTATTAAAAAGGCAAAATTCAAGGCTTACATTTATTCTTATGAAGCAAAGTACAAATATGATCCACCCTAACCCCTATTTTGCCTACATTGAATCATCCATAACCAATTACATTAACCCAAGCTGATTATAAGTATAGTTCAAGTGGAGATGAAAGAAGTCTTGCCCCAAAGAAAAATTTCCTTCTTTTATTTTAACCAAATTTATTTTGGTCTCTGAGTTATAAATTAGCCCACTAATTCCAGCTTGCATTCAGCTTGGGCCTCTCAGTACTCCTCCACACCTAGCATGGGCAAGGTTAAGGAAGAATGGCAACCAGACCAGCATGGGATCAGCTGAGAAGAAGACCATTTAGTATTGATTGCAGTGTATCAGTGATTCTATTGATAAGACCATCTCTATGTAATTCCACTGCCTTTTAAACAATTCAGAGTATGCTCTGCATTGAGAGATATCACATGCAGAGAAATGAAATATTTGGCTGATAATGGCCACCATAATATGGGATATTGTTGTTGTTGTTATGTGCCATCGAGTCGGACCCAACTCATAGCGACCCCTCCTTGGGTTTCCGAGGTGGTATGTCTATGGAAATAGATTGCCCAACCTTCCTTCCGAGGAGTGGCTGGTGCATAGTCCAGTAGAAAACACTGCATGATGAAATTCAGTGAACAGTTATTTTATTTCATAAGAATTTAACATGAAACTTTTTTCAATAAGTATGTTATAACAAGAAAATCATTTCCAAAATAATACTCAATGAAAAAAGTGGGGAACACAGACTTTTGTAAGTTCCATAATGACCATCACAGTCCCTGTGATTCTCTTGGTGGAAAATAGTAGAGGGAAAAGAGGTAAATGACAGTAGTTGTATACAGATAGTTCTCAACTTAGGAGGGAATTCTGTTACAATGACTTCATCATAAGTCAGTTCTGACATTATTGCCTTTTACTATCAATATCTTTATAAATCTAATCTTTGTCTTTGGGAGTTGGAAACATTATATATAAATGTACAGATATATTTGAACACATACATACATTAAAAATATATACAAATTATAAAAATTTACTCCAATGATGAAATTAGTGACTAATGCTTCTGATGGTATGAAATGCTGAATAAGATCACATTATAGGTCTGGACTATGATGAAACAGGTGTCAATGTTGTAACAATGAAGTTGGAATTGTAATGGCTATAAGGTGCAGCCCTGGTGGCATAGTGGATAAGGCATTTGGCTACTAACCAGAAGGTCAGAGGTTCAAACCTGCCAGCTGCCCCACAAGAA